GGGCCCATAGCCTTTGCACTATCCAGTGTCTCCAACCATTTCTTGATATCATGTGGAGTGAATAGAATTGATATCTGTAATGCTGGGGACTACTGGAGGAGCCCGAGATGGATAATCCGCTCGGCACTTCTGATTGAAAATTGTTGCAAGTGCTTCAGTCTTATATTTTGCACTGATGTGCTGGGCCCTTCGATCGTTGAGATGGGGATATCCATGGAGCCGCCTCCTCCAGTGAGTTGTTTAATTATCTACCACCATTCTAGACTGGATGTAGCAAGACTGTAGAGCTTAGATCTGATCCATTGGTTTTGGAATTGCTAAGCTGTATTACTTGCTGCTTATACTGTTTGGCACGCAAGTAGTCCTGTTTGATAGCTTCACCAGGTTGACGACTCATTTTTAGTTCTGCCTGGAAATGTAGAGCCCCAGAAAGGAAAGCCAGCATGTGGCAAATTCTGGAGCACAAGTTTTCCGTACTATTGCCAGAATGTTGTCAGGGTCCGTTGCCTTTGCAGTACCCTGTGGTGATTGTTTTGTTACATGGAAAAGGAGGCATGCAGTTATGTTCTCCAGGGGTCAGTATTATGACGACTGCTCCTTATCATATACACAAATCACATTATTAATAGATATAGGCCACAAGATCAAAGTTTCCAAAGGACATAAAATTCAAATGTAGCAAACAACAAGGGGAATAATAATAGCCTTTGTATAGGTAATGGATTGGAAAGATGGATAGGCAAGTAACAGGTTAAATGTTAACAGACATGATATGCTTTGGTAGGGGTAAAGGGGAAACAGCTTAAGTGAAATGGTACAGTTTTAAAGGGAGTTCCCTAACAGATCTTGGTTGTATGTGCACCAACCTTTAAAGGTGAAAGGCAAGTAGAGAAGGTTTTTTCAAACGCAAGCAAATAGAATTCTGAAACTCATAAATAGAGGTATTTTCAGTTACTGGCTGGATATCAGGAGTGGGTAAGCTGAGTTATTTTTTTCTCCCTCCCTCATCCGAAAATCCGTCCACATTTGTGCCGTGGTTATGACAAATGAGGCCAGCACAGACTAAGGATGAAATCTGGGACTTTACAGTATTGTGGAAACTGCCAATGTGAAATGACTCTCCAAAATAATTGGAAATTTTTGTTTGATGGTAAGCTGCCAATCTGTTTTTTAAAGAAAGGACTTCTGCCAAGACTACAGATTTTGAGTGATGCAAGTATGTTGTTCCACGGTAAAGTAAAGCCTATTCCACAGTTAATAAATAGTTGCTGTACTGCTGGATGTTTTTCTATCTTCCCAGTTTGGTGGTTTCTATGGCGATGAAGTTGCAGGCTGCTTCTGAACAGGGGGAATTGCACGTAGTGTGCTCGGGTTGGGTTCCAAGATGAATTCAGGCATTCACAGAATGATGAGATGTCTCTTAATCTTGATGACCTTTGAACGTGCTGATTTAATTCTGTTGCTTTTTTGTTGAAATTCTGGCACACAATGGTCGCAACAGTTTCATGTTGTGATGACGTTGAAAGTAGTGAGATTCCTTCCCCCACCCAGATTTCATTCCTCTATTTTTATGTAGTCTGTTTCGTAGAACATCTGCAAAAGTCATTTATCCCCCCGGAACATTCCACTGCTTTTGGATTTTACGTGTAGGACAATAAAAATGAATGAAACCAGAGACTCTTGTTAATATTGGGTATTAGCTTAGCACAAGCAATTTTCAACAAATCTAAGAATGGGTCAGAATATCCCTAATTTAGCGAAACTTGCTGCAGACCTGAAAATGTGAGATTCCTTGAGGCCCTGACATTTAGACACAAGCAGCTATGAGTACTGAATGGAGACATGGTTTTTGTTTGCTGTGGAAGGAAGAGATTGGAAGATTTCTCAACTGTGTCCTGTGTGGAAGTGAGTGACTTTTTATTCAGAACTTCATTCCATCTGACTGCAAGATTAAGGGGTTCAGTGATCCAGTTGCAATCTTCACTTGTATGACTGATAACTCTATATATCATATAAACACTAGCTCCATTGCCAGTTCTGAGGAATTTTTTCTATGTTGCCATATCTTGAATGATAAACTGACTTTCAGAATGCTTGCATTTGGACGCATTAAGAGTATTTTCAAGTTGTCACTGCAGTTGAGCATGTTGGTAAGCCAACGAACCATGTAGCAGAACAACAAAACTTGAATATGTGCTTACAATTCCCCTGTGACGCATAGCCTCTACATGCTAAGTGGGGCCATATCAGTAGGCAGCTTCATTCAGGAGACTGTGAACTGGGAGGAATTAGCTATTCTCACCCTTGGGACTAATGTTGAAAATGTCTATTAAAAGTAATTGCATAGAGAAATGATTGTGAAGGTTTGAAGCTGTATGTCAGTAAAATTTATACTGAGAAATGATGATGCCTGTAAAGATTTGAGGTAATTGGGTATTGTGTGCTGATTGCTAAGTAAAAGCATATGTTGTTCTGTTTGACTTTACAGTGTAAAGAGAAAACCAGAAAGCATTGAATGTTTCCCAGAAGGAGTTAGATATTGTTCTTGGGCTAAAGGGATCAAAAGTTATGGGGAGTTAGCAGGAGCAGGGTACTGAATTGGATGATCAACCGTGATCATGTTGAATGGCAGAGCAGGCTACTGCTATTTTCTGTGTTTCTATGACATCCTTGGTCTAAACATGGACTCAAGAGCTGAACTCCACAGGTGAGAGTGACTGCCCATGACATCAAGGCAGCATTTGATGGAGTATGGCATCAAGGAGATCTAGAAAATGGGAATCGGGTTGGGGTTTGAGGTGTTTGGTGAGGGGCAACTCTACTTTGGCCTAGTCAGGAACGCCCACAGCCCATGAATGAATATTTTAAAAATTGGGTGCAACGCTGTTGGTTTCCAGTGAAGTTGCAGAGTTACATAGGAGATGCATGGGAAAGGGTCTGCTTCCAAGTAGGCCCAATTTCTTGTAAATAGACTTTTAGTTGTGATCGCTGAGTTTCCTTTAATTCTTTCATGGAATGAGTGTCGCTGGTGAGGGCAGCAGTTGTTTCCCATCACTACCATTGAAAAGAAGGTGTTGAGCTGACTACTTGAATCTTTACAGGTACACCCACAGTATTCTTGTGAAGGGAGTTCCATGTTTGGTGGATTTTTGGGAAGTCATGGATCTGGAGGTTAAGTTAAGGATGTTATTTTGTGCACACTGCTGCAACTGTGTGCCAAGAGTAGAAAGAGTGAATATTAATGTAGCTGTTGAAGTGCCGATCAAACGGGCTGCTTTGTCCTCTGTAGTATTGAGCTTGGGATGTGCATTCATCCAGACAAGCAGGGGGTTTGGAAGTGAGTTAGTCACTGCTTATCCTCATTTTAGATTGATGTATCTGATGTGTGGACAAGTGACCATGGATCAGCCAAAGTGGAATAAGCAAGCAGTTCCCTGCTTAAGTTCAAGGCCATAATTGATCACTTTTATCTTATGAAAATGAGTGGCTCTACTCACCCATCCTCCACTTGCTGCTTGCATCAGTGAGATTGGAAACTTCAGGCATATTGAAGCATTCTTAGTGGAAATAGCTTTACCACTGAGTCAGAATGTTGTGGGTTTAAGCCTTGGGCTTCAGCATGCAATCTAGGCTGACAATCTGGTGCAGTACTGAGGCAGCGCTGCTGTAATGAGGAAGATGACGGCTGAAATCTTAAATAGAGGCCTCTGTCTGCCACCTCAAGTGTTCCTAACCAAATTTGTAACAGGAGGAAGAGCACAAGAGTGTCATGTGTCCTAATCAACAAATATTGCTGAACAAACATTACCAGAAACAGTTTGAGTCATTTAATTCATTGCTGTTTGTAAAATTCTTGCTGAATGCAAATTAGCTGCTGTGCTTCCCTTTCTTGAAGTACTAAAAAGTAATTAAAATATAAAGAATAACTATAAAGTATTTGGAGATGCTGTGAGTTGTCAAAAGGCAATAGTTAAATGCAAGTCTAGATTATTGCATCTGTGCTGCATTATATTCTGAAAGTATACGAAGTTGCACTTCTTAAAAGATGTCTGTTTACCAAGGGTGGATGGGCATTGCAATGACACAAATCTCCAGTGTTTGATCTTGTCAGCTGCCACTGTTTGCTTTGGAATTTTCTATGTCTCCTGTGGACCAAAGGTGCTAAAAGGCATAAGAGATCATTTCTCATCTTCTCTGTATTTTCACTGTTGAAGTAATAAGAGAACTGTTGATAATGCAGGTTAATTATGCTGAATATTGTTTACAGAATTGATCTCAAGTTGGTTTGATTAACCCATAAAATATGTAACCAAGTTATTGATTCTCTGCATATCTCCCCCTGCCATATGCTCTTCCTCAATATACCTGTTTCCAAATTTCAACTAATCTACTGCTTAATATGACTGCAAAAGTAAAATATGATGGAATTGCCAGAGTGACTTTTCTCCCAATTCCTCCAGTATTCCCCCTACTTCCTAACTGGGAAACACCTAAACTGTGCACATTGTTTCCTTCAGATGTTATTGTTAAGAACAGGAGTTCTTGCTTTCGTGTGTTTTGCAATATTGCTACATCTCCTCTTGCCCTCTTTGGTCATGTAGGTGGACCAGCTTACCCTCAGTGTTGCCCCTTGATTGCGATAATTGAGGTATTGACCCTGGCCCATTAAGTGTTTGTTTTCCAAACTGCCCAAGACTGAGCACTTTCTCAGCAGACAAGGGAAGACTATTGAACATCTGCAGTTTCCCCTTCCACTTTTTCTAACTGTGGACATTGAAGAAAGTCCAAAGAACTTATAAATCTCAACCAATATTATGATAATTAGTTACTAGCAAATATTCAAACGCACCTCTGGATAGATTCCTACCTTTTGGGAAGAAATATCTTTCCATCACTTAGTGATCTCTCACCCGTGTTCCTGCCTACATTAAAAGCTCATGACATTTGGTGTAGTTCTTTACCTGTACTTAAATGAGGCTTACAAAAATGTGCAGTACTTTCTTACTGCTGCTATTATCAATGGATAATTGTTTAACTTTCTATTTCTACAGTTATCTGAATGACCTTGAAAGGATAGCAAGATCTGATTACATCCCGACTCAGCAAGATGTCCTGCGAACTCGAGTCAAGACTACAGGCATCGTGGAGACTCATTTCACTTTTAAGGATCTACACTTCAAGTAAGCATTGCACAGTTAAATTTAAGGACAATGGTATTGCCTCTGATTACACAAATCAGTAAAACCAGTGGTGTTTTTTTAAGAAGGAAGCCATTCTCACGTAAGATCTGTATGATTGCCAGGGAAGATGTCTTATTCTGTTCACTGTTTATGCTCAAAGGTTATTAATTTAAATTTTCTGCAGCTGTTGTATGTGGTTACATTTTTATCATATGTTTTATGTTTTACTTTTTACTCCTTCCTGGATCTCCCCAAGTTAGACAATGAGGATACCTCCCAACCTGCTGCTAGGCCTTTTGCCACTGTTGTTCTGTGTTTAAATATTTTAGTATCTAAAATTATTGGGGTGACTTAATTAAGATGTTTAAAATGGCTGGATTTGATTGGATGGATGGAGCAACTCTGAAGCTGTCTGATTGTCATAAAAAAATCAACTGATAAACAAATGTCCTGGAGGGATAACGGCCAGCTGTCATTACCCAGTTGGTGCAGCATGTAACTCCCATCTCACCCCAGTGTGGTGAATTCTTAACTACTCTCAGAAGTAACACGAAAAGCTGTTCAGTTTTCTGGTTGTAAGTTTGGCCCACTAAATCAAGGCAAATAGGATTGGGTGCTAAGTTCCCGGCCTTGCCAATTTTTATAAAAATATAAAAGTGTATTTTTGCTTGGCAGTGTTTAAAAAGAATTAGCTCAGCCATTTAGAGACTCATTTCTTGAGTTAACTGTTATTTTGAGTCCCACTACGTGGGCAATATTTCGGTTGTTTTGCTGCTTAGTTAGACTGAGATTAGGAGGAGGTGCACTAGGTAAAGTTGCCATTGTCCTGCCAGTCAATAGCGCTGCTCTCTCATTAGAGAGAGATGACTGGTGGTTTAACTTGAGGATCACCATACTCTAGGTGAGGGGAGAAGTTGAGAAGGTGAATCCTCGGCTGGTACTGGATTTCAGCCCGTGCTGTTGGCGTCACTCTGTATTGTGCACCATTCGTTCAGCCAGCTGAGCTAAACCAACCCCCATAGAGCTTCACCAGCAGGTAATTATTCTTTTCAAGCCTCACTGAACACTTTCACTGAAGGACCATTTTTCCAAGCATGGTTTGTTACAGATTAAGCGTTGTTTCAGTACATCCTGTTTCGTGTATTATGTTGCTGATGCACTACTGCCTCAGCAATGCTATTCCTAAATAAAATGCAAATACTGACAGTACTGGAAATCTGAAACAAACACTGAGAATGATTGGAGAAACTCCACAGATCTGTCAATATCTTTGAAGAGAGAAACAATTGATGTCTTGAGTCCAGATTGACTCTTCGGATGTTTCTGAGCTTTCCTGTGTTGAAGACCAAGAGAAACCAGCACTGAATCCAGTAAATGTCCAGCATAGGCAGCAACTCCAATTAAAGATTTTCAGCCCAGGGTTTTTCAAAGGCTGTACTATCAGCCACATTGCTGGGTCAGAATTGATTTAAGATCTACTGTTAGCAAGAGGTATTTATTAAGAAGTAAGGTTATGCAAGTATAATAATTTGTAAGTCTTTTGAATTATATTTGCAGACCCACTTGTAGCATTAGTGATAACTGTCAGAACCTCCAACTCCGACCAATTTCAGTCCTGCAGAATATAATACTGACAACCCCGTATTTAAAGACTCCAACCATTACTCAAATATTCTCAAATTCGCTATTCTAGTCACTGACCACCTAATCATAGAGTCGTACAGCAGAAAAACAGGCCCTTTGGCCCACTGTGGTAATGCTGACCAATAAACAACAAACTACACTAATCCCATTTAGCTTGCACTTGGTTCATAGCCTACTATGCCCTGGCATTTTAAGTGTACATCCAGGTGCTTCTTAAATGTGGCAAATGTTAGTTTTGTTGGCCCTTTAGGGGTGAAGTGAGAACTTAGTCATAATAACCTAGAGATATTTCAAAAGACAAGAAGTCAGTACTGTAATTGGTGTATTTTTACCTTTTTCCATGTAACCTCCATCATAGCAGCACCTCTGCCTCCAAGGCACATTCATTGCTTCATTTAATTTTATAATGTTCCCACAAAAGCAGGGATGTGACAATTCATAAATCCGAGAGTGGATGGTCTTTGGGTTGCCTCTCTGACTCCCAGAGCTTTCTAAATGAAAGTTTTGTTACATAATCAAATTTGGAAAGTAATGCTATGCACTATTTGACATGAGCTTTTGGATTTTCAATGAAACCTCTGAAGAAAGATCATCATTCAAGGCAGGTTTGATTTGGTTACTGGTACCGAGTGAAAGACAGAGAATCATGTGCCTGCCAATGCTGTTTTTGTAACAATGAAGACACAATATTATTGTTTCATGGGAGAGATGTATAATGAACTGTTATGTAGATCTTGCTGGTGTGGCTTGAGGAATTCCCCAGCAAGTATCAGGTGAACCGAGCGAGTGCTAATGATGGTAAAATTATTTCAAAAACTTTATCTTATTTTAAAATCAATTAAGCCAGCTTCTTCACTTCCCCATTTTGGGAGAGTCAGATACGGGTTTCAATGTGGTTTTGGACATGGGGAATAGTTCCAATTTCAGTTGTAGAAGAAACAATCATGTACCTCAACTAAAGAGAGCGTGCTGGCAATATTCAGCATCTGTGGAGAGAGAAAGTGTTAACGTTTTCAGGTGAATATGACTTCAGATTTGTTATGCAACTGATTAGCTACATAAGAAATAAGAGTAGGCATAGGCCATCTGCGTGCTTGCATAGACTGTTCTGTTCAATAACGTCCTGGCTGATTTGATCATCATTCCAACTCCATAGTTCTGTCTGCCCCCATAATGCTCAACTTCTCTGCAGTTCCAATAATTTATCTGTCCCAGCCATGAAAAACCAAGCCTCCCCTTGTTTTTGTTTTGTTTTATTCACTGCTGGGATATGTAGCATTGCTGCCTTGGCCAGCTGTTATTGCCCTTCCCTAGTTAGCCTTGAGAAGGCGTGATGAAGTCCTCGATCCTCAGAAGCCATTTCCTCATCTCCACTGTAAAAGAATGATTCCTTATTCTCGAACTATGGCCTCCTCTTCTAAATTCCTCGGTGAATCATGGAATCCGTACAATGTGGAAGCGGGCCATTTAGCTCATCAAGATGGCACTGTCTGAATACCATCCCACCCAGACCCACACCATGATCTTTGTGCTGCTGCATGGAGTCTTTCTCAATTGAGATCACTTCTGTTTTCCTATTCTTCCTACCATAGTGGGTAACCTCACATTTTTCAAGTATTCCATCTGCCAAAATTTTGCCCACTCACTTTAATCTTTCTATATCCTTTTGCAGATTCTAACTCATAGTTTGCTTTCCCACATAACAGAGAAAATTTTGCTGCAATACCCATGGTGTCTTCAGCCAAGTCATTTAAGGTAGATTTAAGTAGTAATCCCTGCAGTTAAAGTTTGCAAACGTGGAAATAACTTATTCATCCAAACTCTGTCTCCTTTAAGTGTACTAAACATTTATCAAAGTTAATATATTAATCCCAACACCATGAGCTTTTATCTTGTACAGTAACTTCCTATGTGGCAGATTATCAAATGCCTTCTGGAAATCCAAATATCCTGTATCTACTTGTTTCCCTCTGTTCATTGCGTCTTCATAGGAACCTTAATTTGTCAAATCTGGTTTCCTTTTCATAAAATCATGTTGACTCTGCTTAATTTTTATTATGGTTTTCTAAATGTTTCTAACATTACATTTCCTTAATGGATTGTATTTTCCCAATTACAGAATTAGACAAACTAGACTGTTGTTTCTTGCTTTCTTTGTAGAAGGTTTAATTTCTTTTTATTTCTCTCGCTAGCTTATTGTCATAAATCCTATGTCTACAGCTGCTTGTCTGCTGTCATAACCTTTAATCTATTTTCCAAGTCCATTTTAGCCAACTGTCTTCACACCTTTTATTTCCTTGCTTCAAATTTTAAGGTTCTAGTTTCAGACCCATATTTTGCACCCTCAAACTGATTTTAAAATTTATCCATCATGATCCAACTTCTATAGAGGATCCTTTTCTATAACATCATTAATTATTCCATCTCATTATAAATGATTAGATCCAAAGAGCATGTTCCCTTGTTGGATCTGTAATGTGTTATTCTAACAAATGCATAGTCATAGAGATGTACAGCACGGAAACAGACGCTTCAGTCCAACTTGTCCATGCCAACCAGATATTTTAAATTAATCTAATCCCATTTGCCAGCAATAGAGTTAGCCATGAGAAGATAATGATGACCTGTCTCTTGAAGGCTGTGATCCATTTGGCCTGTATCCCTCTAAACCATTCCTATTCTTACACCCATCCAGATGCCTTTTAAATGTTTAAATTATACAGCCTCCACCATTTCCTCTGGCAGCTTGTTTCATGCACGCACCACCCTCTGCATGAAAATGTTGCCCCTTTTAAGTCTTCCCCTCTTACCTTAACCCTGTATGACTTGGTCCTCAAGGCTACTTTGGCCCATTTGATTTGTCCAATCAACCAGGAAGATTAATGTCACCAACGATTTATGAAGTACCTTTTGCACAATTCCCTGTAGTTTCTTCATTTATACTCTTGTCAGACAGTGTTGTTATTGCGAATGGACCTTTTAAGTTACTTGCTCCAGTGAATTCTTTTCCTTGCTATTTCTTATCCGCGCCCAAACTGATTTTGCATCTTGATTTTCTGAGCCAAGATCATTTCTCATGACTGTACTGATATCAACCTTTATAAACAGAATTATATCAATTTCTTCCCCCTTTGTTTCTATCTTTCTGAAATGTTAGCTACTCCTGAAATTCAGTTCCCACCCTTGGTTACTTTGTAATCATGTCATTATAACGATAGAATGTGCCCATTAATTATATAGCAGAATTTTTTTACACAAAGGATTTTTGTGAAGTTAGGAAGGTTATTGGTACGTTTTGAAACACTATTATCCAATGCACCAGAATAAAAACACTCTGGCCAGGATCTAACTCTCAC